TATAGAAAACCCCAGCCACAGAATCATCAGAGAAGCCATAGAGATTGAAAAAAGACCAGAAAGCATGAATAGAAGAGATGATTCCACCAGACTGTCAATCATTTGGAAGCCTGCACTCACAAACAAAAAAATCTCCACACCACAAGCCAGGCAAACACCTGGGCACAGACAGATCCCCCCTGATACCTCCAGCTCAAACACACCCCAACCAGGCACCCAGATGAAACCTAGCTTCCTAACTAATGATAGCCGTCCATTTACCTGGAGCCAAGCTGCACTAAAGGCCTCCAATAAATTAACACAATGTTGCCAGCCAATCAAGAGACAAAAAGAGCCAAAAAAACAGACAGGAGATATTAGAAACACCAATCAAGCAGAACACAGCAAACTCCAAGACCAATAAACACAGACCAAGACTCCCAACCAATCAGGGTGAAGAAAAAACCATTCTGGTACAGCAATAGGCTGCCCCAAATTTAAATCTAAAACCACTATAAAAGCCTGACTCACAGATGAACACTATACAGAAGCCTGATGATGGCAGATGAGATTCTGCTGAAACGTCGCTACAACTTTAAAAGCACAACTACTATGACGTGGGAAAATACCCGAGCAAAGCCGAATGCCATACATGTAAGTATGTATCTTCTGTCTGTTTTGTCACACATCATTCACCAATTCCTCACTCCTGCACAGTCTTAGGTTTCAGACTGCTCCCATCTTCATGGCAGCCATTTTGACTGCCACTACAGCTTGTCTTTGAATGAGGGGGTTTTCCATGTTAGGGAGGAGAGATGCGGCTCTCCTCTATCTGTCAGGTGGTCCCCATTTCTTCACCACCCCTCCAGGGTGGTTCCTTGCAAATTCTATCACATAAACATAAATAGATGAAATATTGTTTATTTTCTTTAAGGAATGAGAGGACCCACACATCAACAGATATGGAAACACCCTTCTGTATCGGTTCTAGAGTAATATTCTAAGTAGATGCTACAAAATGAGATGTACTGTACTGATGATGTACAGGAACAGAACAGACTACCTTACCGTGCATAAATCCTGCCTAGAAGAATTACTTTATTAGCTGATGTACTGTCTTTGTAACAAGAGCATAGTCGATCCCCCATCAAGTAATGGGTTAAATCCTGTTGCTGCGGGGTGGGGGGAATGTGGGACAGGACTATCAGTGTCAAATTTGGAGTGGTGGACAAGACAGAATGACTGCTTACCTCAAATACAATTATATTCTCCAGACTTAAAATCAAGTGGAGGGAATGTATACAATAAATTGCCAATGTGGGCATAATTATATTGGGCAAACTGGAGAATGTCAGCATCTTTGGCACATTGCAACAGATTTTTTTTCCAGAATTATTAGAGGGTCATTGTATAACTGTCCAAAATAATTAATAACAGAATTACAGAGTTGGAAGGGACCTTGGAGGTCTTCTACTTAAGCAGGAGACCTTATACCATTCCAGAAAAGTGGCTATCCACTCTCTTCTTAAAAGCCTCCAGGGGTGGAGCAGCCATAATTTCAGAAGGAATACATTGAAGAACTACTATTAGCTATAATTTACAAGGTAGCTATGATTGCTTGAGGGTGTTTTGCTCCATTGAATTCAAGCAGTATATAAGCATGCAAGAACTTGCTCCAAGTTCAGTTTTAGTTCTCCTATGAAAAAAGAGTTAACTAACTAATAAAAAATCAGTTCTGTCATTTCACTAATAAATAGCAGCCATGAAATATGAATAATATTATTTGTTAAAGATGTCAAAATCCAAGTGGAATACAATGATTTTGCTAACAAAAGCAGGCTTTCAACAGAGAAAACAAGTGGAAAAGAAAAAGAGACATTGGAAAAGTGTTGACTTTGAAAATAATCTGATGGTGAAAATATAGCCTTGAGAGTGCTTCTGGGAAAAAATAAGCAACAGAAGAGGTTTGGAATACAGCACTTTGAGTAAAAATGTAGAATTGGCCTTGTAACAATAGTCTTGGAGTTATTTAGCATTACATAGAAGGTGGGAGCATAAACAGGCAATCCTCAACTTACAACTGTTTATTTAGTGACCTTTCAAGTTACAACAGCACTGGAAAAAGTGACATGTTTTTCACACTTATGACTTTTGGAGCATCCTCATGGTCACATGGCCAAAATTCAGATGCTTGGCAACCGATTCATGTCTACGGCCGTGGCAGTGTCCCGGGGGTTATGGGATCACCTTTTACAACCTTCTGACAAGCAAAGACAATGGGGAAGCCAAATTCACTTAACTGTATTACTAACTTAATAACTTCTGTATATCACTTAACAACTATGACAAGAAAGGTAATAAAATGGGACAAAACTCACTTAGCAAATGTCTCACTTAACAACAGAAATTTGGGGCTTAATTGTAGTTGTAACTCAAGGACTACCTGTAAGGGATCTTGGCTGATCTTGAAAAAGTAAACATCAGGTATGATGAGAAAACCACTAAGAAAATCTCAGAATTCTAGATAAACTAGGAATTGGAGATGCATCCCAGAAGGTAATAGCAAAATATTTCCATATACGAATGTGACTCTGTTGGGGAAATTGGGAATGAACAGAACTAATAGTGCAACTGTAAGGGTGACACAGTCTGCTTCAGGCAACATCGAAGGGGAAGATAAATAAAAGCTATTTGAAAGCTACAATAAATCAGTATGGCCCTATTATTATGTAACTACTGGGTCTCAGATGTGGGGATATAATTAAGGCATGTGATAATAAAATAATATCAACAACTAAGCGTCAACTAATATCAACAACTAAGCATCCTACACAGAGATGCCACCTCTATGAAAGGCCTTTCCATGCTACTAGCTATTTTGAAGGTCTTACTCTGTGATGTTTACAGAGGAGAGAAGAGCAGTGAGTAAAATGGCTTTGTATTTCCCTTCTGTTACTTTTGGCATTTTTGTTGCAGCAGGTTCTTGAATAGTTGAGACAAAATGGATATACCGTAGTGCAAGAGTGTGCCTACTTAAGCATCAAGATTGTCCCAAAGGAATCTATTCTATCAATGGTTAGACAATAAAACATGGTAATGAAATATGTAGATTTTTAGAAAATAATAAATATCTAAAGATGTATTCTTTTCTTATTATATCTACAAAATGATTGTAGGATAGATTTGAGATGATAATATGAACTGTCATAAAACTACTTAAGTAAAATATGATTATTTTGTAAAACATGAATGAATAAAAGTATAGTCAAAGGATTGATTAACAATGATATAATTGTATTTAATACTTGATTGAAAATATGAGAATATATACAGTGTAATTGTAATTGAAGACTACGAAATGGAAGCACAAAACATTTCGTAAACCAACCGGCACACTGTATGTATATATATGGAAGATGGCTTGATGTTTTTATGTTTTGTTTGTCTATGTTCGTCTTAAAAACCAATAAAAAAAAAAGATTGTCCCAAAGGTGCTTTTTCAAGAGCGAATTGGCCTTTCTGGTTTTTATTTGAAGTGTTTCACTTCTCATCCAAGAAGCTTCTTCAGCTCAGAATTGAAGAGGCCAGTTGCCTATTGAAAAAACACCTTTGGGACAACCATGACCTGGATAATGGAGAAAATCCATAGACATTAAGCATCAAGACAACTTCAGATTCAATGGAATAGAAGTTCCCATGTTACAGTCATGTAAAATTCCTTTGTCACCATGGAGGGGAGGGGGAATCTGAAACTAAAATTGTGTCTCTCACAACTGAAAGGAGTTGCCAGTCTATTCAGTGGCTTCTTGCAGCCTTATGAGTTCCTGGTATGAACAGGACAGTACAAAATCCAGTCAAGGCAAAAGGAATACTGGAATAATATAGTTTTAATCCCTTCCATTATACAAACAATTAGATGAGGATAGTAATACTTGTTATCTTTTCAAAAGGCATTATTTCTCTAACTCTATTGTGGGATGTAACTGGTTTCTTTTTTCATGATATCAACTTTCTTATAATTTGCCATTTTTTATTTTATTTTTAATAGAGAAAGAACAATTGTTTCAGAATTTGCTGGAGCAAGTGGCTGAGCAACTTTCAAGGTAATCCTTTTACTATATAATAATTTTAAAATTAGGGAGTTCCCATAGAGTATTTTGCTTCTGCTCCTGCCCTGGCTCTGAGGCTGATTTGCAATTTGCTTCCTTAGAGCTCCATGGAACTAGGAGGCAGGGTTGTTTCCAGAATGGCAGGAACTTTTATCTCACCTCGCCTGTCCTCACTTGAATTTGGTGCTTATCTAGTCAATTTCATAGTAAACCAAATCAGCAAACCTGATCTTCTAGTCAGTTTCTAAATTCCTGCAAAAACTGGCAGTTTTATTTTCACTGCTTGTATAAAGAGCATTCCTGTATACTTGCCCCATCACAATCCAACATCTGATTTCAGGGAGACCCCACTTAACTGTACAATTAAAGATCCTACCCTACTGTGGCTGTAACTAGTGAAAAAATCCCTGGCCGTCAGCTAGAACTTATATGGGGCCATCATCTTAGTTTTCAGGCAAAAAGGAGGCATTTGGATAGCCAGAAAAGAGAATATTTGTAGCTCAGGGTTGAACTCTGGGTTCCTTGGTGTTCTCTGAGCTTGATGGTTTTCTTGCAGATGTTTTGTTACCAAACTAGGTATAACCTCATCAGTACTAGAAGGGAGTGGAGTTTGATCTTATTTCTATATACTAGTGGCTTACCCTGTCAGAGTTGACCAGTTGCTTCACAAAAAGTGTTTTGATTGGTGCCGGGTCTCTACAGCCTCAGGCAGAGAAGGGCTATTCTGCACCCCTCCCTCAAATGTTCTTTAAAATACAGTTTTCCAGCATACCTTTAGGAACCTCCAACAAGCAAACTGTGTTTAGTCATCCTAAAATGAATCCTCTTTTTACTTGGAGCTTCAAAATTTGCTGTTTGCTGGGAAGGTGTGTAGCTAAAAGTCAGTCTACATTTAATGTACATCTGACTTTGGGGATATTTCTTCATAACAAAACAAAACTTCATTTTCTGTGCAGTTCACACCCCTTGCTTGCTGGATACGGATGTCACAAAGCAAAGCCCACATTTTGTAATTAACCCCCATACCCCATTTTGGCTGACAGAGTGCTGCAGGACCCTGGCCATGCCCACACAGCCACAGCCACCCATCCGGTCATTAGGGCAGAGAACCGGTTGTTACATTATTTGAATCCCACCACTGAGCTTGTCTATAACAAGTGAAATATAAATTGATATAGAAATGCCAACAACATGTATTAGAAACATGGAAGAGAGGAGCTAGCAGAGTGATATTTTACTTTTCTCAGTGGGACAGAAGTGAGGGCAGTTTTCTTACTCTAGGAGCTACCATAGCTTGGAAGAGAGCACAGTGACTGGCAATGTTTACATTGGCCTACTTGTTATTCAAAAGCTAGCAAGATTGAAAAGTACCATAAGATTGGTTTCAAAATGCTTTGGTAGTTTAGGAATAGAAATGGTGCTATCTTGAAGAGCCCTACTGTATATCCTTCCTTCTTTCCTTGCAGTTCTCAGTCTAATCTGAAGTGGGAAAATGGATAAGAATGAATTAACATTGAAGGTTACAAAGTTATGCACCGGGATTTGCTGCTAAGGAAACATTCCCCTGTTGCATTGTATAGGTGGTCCTTGACTTATAACAGTTCAGTTAGTGACTGTTTGAAGTTACAATGGCACTGAAAAAATGACTTATGACCGTTCTTTAACTTAACAGCATAAATTTTGGGCTCATCTGTGGTCATAAGTTGAGGACTGTCTATATACACTTTCTTCATATTGAAAAAGAAAAGAAAATTGTCTTCATTATAGATGGAGCTTTAGAAAAAAATGTACATTTAACTTGAATCAATTTCATAAAATTATAGCCAAAATCATGGCCAGTTTATTATATTTAAATAAACATGGGTGAGCAGTTGCCTATTCTAGAAGTATAAAACTGTACATGTCTGTAAGTTTATATTTATATCTAGCAAATAAAGCACTCCTAACATGTATACTGATTCCTCCATTTATTTCAGAGAAGAATTGTTTTACATGTCACTCATGGAAGGAACCTTAGCTTTCCTTCTAATTAAATGGGGAACTTTTATGGACAGGAGGGGATCCATAGGTTGTGTGTAAAATCCTCATATCAAAAGCTGATCCTTAGCTGGGAAATAATAAACAACTGGACACCTTTAGTTGTTTATTTTTGAAGTATCTTTCAGTGCATTTAGCTATTAAATTTCAGCATTTATTTTCCAATTAACAAATATTATGTTTTTCATGCATATCTTCTTATTTAACTTTGGGACTGTTGTTATTTCCTCTCCAGAGTATTTAAAATTGATGAACTTAAAACTGAAGTATTTAATCAACTGGCAATGCTGGAGAAGAGAGTGGAATGTAAGTTTTTTTTTTCCTACTAGTGTAACAGAATAGAAACTTTATTGGTTTAATCATCTGACCATATTAAAAATATAAAACCAATACAAGTATATGTAAATATATTTTAAAAAATAGTAAGACATATTCCTGATAAATTGTCACCCTATAATTAACCCCAATCTGATCTAAATAATCTGTCCTCTCCAAAATGGCCTTGAATATAAAGTCTGTGATCTTATTAGTGATACACATGTTCATTCCCTGCAGAAAGTAACATAGTTGCTCCTGGGTGCCCCAATATTTTTTGTTGTTGTCAAATACTCTAAATAACCAGTCCCTTCTGCAGAATACAGTTTGCAATCAATGAGGATATGTGCAATGTCTTTAATTGCTGCTGCACCCCAAATACACTGTTTCTCTCCAGACTGAGTTCCATAAAATCTCCCATATCTTATCATGAAACCAGGTTGTTCAAAACGAACATGAGGGCACATATTATGCAACTGTTCTTCAAAACCAAGCTTGAACTTTTCTCTAACAAGCTGAAGCTAGAATAAATTTGTATTAGTGTGAGATTTTAATCTTTTTATGAACATACAGTACCTAGTGCCTTCTTTTTGGCAGGGTAAAATATAGTATTGAATAAAAAGAAGAGGGGAACACAACCTTTCAAGTCTAAAATGCTTCTTTCTCATCTCACATCATTTGCACAGAAATGTAGTATAAAATCTTTAATCCTGTACAGTAAGTCTATGTTCTGCTAAATAACCTGAGAAGATGCTGAGCTGGACTGCAGTTCTAGGTAAGATCCTTCCGCTGTGATTCTTTCTCTGAAAAGCAAGATGAAAGCCATGTTCAAAGATGTTCTGAGTACTGTCTAAGTTCAGTGGCAATTTTGCTGAGAAAAAAATCTGCAATATTCTAAGGTCCTAAGAAAACCTTTTTATTGGATCCTAGAAGTGCAAAATTAGGCATATTTAAAATTCAGCTCTTTGGGTGGAAGGTGGAAAGTATATTGAACTTGACTAGGCTGAGCTCCAGGAAAGGGTCAAACTTGTCATCAAACTTGAGTCCCTTTGCGCCCACAAGAGATCCAAGTACAGCTCACCTTGAATTCCATTGACTCTTATCTATTGCCAATTTGTTTTGACAGTAGTTCAGATTCTTGTAGAGAGCTTTTGTGTACAATAAACCTATAAATTCACTTGAACTGCCTGGACTCCTGATTTCCTGCACTTGACACATATTTTTTAAAGCTAAAAAAGAAGTGGTACCACAAATTCACATTATCTAATAGCTTTCTTTGTTAAGACCCTTATGTAATAAATACTTTTTGATTGATTATGTACCATCAGAAAATCAATTATTATACTTTAAATGATAATTTTGAGTAATGGAATTCTTTTTATCACTTTCACAATCTACATATAATAAAGGTTTGTGTGTACAAATCACTGCCTTGTAAAAATAAAATTATCAGAATTTGGTGAAAAACAAGGTTCTGATAGGAGGATTTTTCCCTTAAACACTCAAATTCATATGCAAATGGTATGTCAGAGAATTACAATCATATGAAATGGTATTCAGGAATACATTTCATTACATTAAAATTCATTAAAATTATTGTTGAAACAGACAAATGTACAGTGACCCAAAGGACTGAAACTTTCTGTCTTAAATAGCTTCACTGATTTCAATTAACTGATTTTCTTTATGAGTTTTCATATACTGTAAGTTTTTGCACAAATGAAATTTGGAGCCTCTAGCATTTCCATGTAGTGACATGGAAACACAATGTGTTCAAATTACTGCTGAGGAGTCTTAGTTCAATGTACGTTCACATCCTGTTTATCCCCAAGTGAGAATCTGAAATCTCTAGTTTATACATGTCTTTGAGACACATGAGTGGCCATTGATAAGTGAGAAGAGGCCCTGCCTCTCTGCAGAGACTGAAGTTTTTGAGAACTACTAAAAATAAAGATTGTTCCAGTTGCTCGCCAAGGTTTGTTGCCAGTGCTGCCCAGCAGGAAACATGCATGCTGGTGTGATGAATGTCCTAGTCAGGCTGAGAATTTATTGCTGAGCAGTTCATAAACATTATAATGCCAGTGTAAAGGTAGTTCCAGCATATGGGAAGATCATTACAGGAAAACTGCCTCATAAAGTGATTCTGTACCAAGAATATCTTGGTTCTATCTATCCTCCTAATGTGCTAGTTAGAACACCAGGCTGAGAAAGAGTTGGTTCGGGGTTTAGTGTCACAGCTGGTGTTTCTATATAAAGAAATGTCATGGAACCATTTTTTTTTTTCATTTAACAGGCTGCTAAGTGGAAACCCAATGAAATATTGTCACTATATAGTGCTTTGTATTAATATAGTATATAGTAGTGCCACAGCTTGCTGCTTTCATTTATTCCTATTCTAAGAAGTAGTCCAGGGAAGCTGAAGAATGGCTGGATGTTGTTGCTGTGGCTCACAATAGTGATGTAGCTGCTTTTCTGCTACTTCTAATGTTGCTCTTAGTATTGTATTATTTGAATGATTGATTCTGTTAGCAGTCCCTGCCCGTTGAGAAACAGGTTTCAGGTTGAGGGCCTGCTGAATCACTGGCACACTGTTTGGTGGCTTTTGAAATTCTGCTCAATTACTACAATAGATCCTTTGAGCCTCTCCATGGTAACCCTCCTGTTGTTTTACTTTGTTGACAGTGGAGGGACTGAAAATAGTGGAAATTGAAAAGTGTAAGAGCGACATTAAAAAGATGAGGGACGAAATGACTGCAAGAAGTACCAGGTAAGCTTTGCATTTTGTTCTTGTGAAGAAAGACACTTCTGAATAACCGCTTCTGCATTGCGGAAATTCTGAAGATTTATTTAGAAGCCAATCTAGAGATAGCCAGGATAGAGTGTGATGGTCAGTTTAGTCTTGGACATGGAGAGTCAGGGTCAAGTCTCCATTCAGTTATGGAAACCCCAAGGTGGCTTGGTCATTCACTGCCCAATCTACTTCACAGGTTTATTGTTGGACCAAAATTAGAGAAGAAGGCTAACTTGTGCTCTCAGAGAAAAGGTGGAATATAAATACAGTAAATAAATAAATAAATCAGTATTAAATTAATGTTCCCTAGAGCTCTGGGGGAGTGGTAGGATATAAATCTAATGAATCAATAAAAACTGATAAAATCCAGCATGTTTTTAAAATTTATTTAAGTAAATTATATGGCTACCCATCATTTAATAGGGACTGGGCAGCATGTAAGATTAAAACCAAGAGTGGGGCTTGCTTCCAGGTCAATGTGCATAGGACTGCCATCTAATAAACTAAATAATGTCTCATTTTCAATGGTCGTTATTCACAAACTATGAAGCTTCTTGGTGTTTTTTTTATATCAGCATGGATAAAAGGATAAGATTCACTAGTTTTGTTTAAGGAGATATGGCCACTTAATAGTTAACGAGTAACTGGAAAAATAATTCTTGGAAAGATTAACATCTTGGTTTCCCTCTAAGCCATCCGGTAATAAAGACTCGTGCCCTTGGTTTTATGCAGAGAACAAAAAAAAATTCGGCCAAGAAAAACATTAGTTTGGTAACAGACTCACAAGAAGGAGACCTGCTCTGATACAAAATGTAATCTGAGAAAAAATCACAATATATATACAGTAACTCCACTTGCACTATGAGAGAATGTGCGTGTTATATTTTAACCCCCCAAATGAGTTATTTCCTTTTTACGGAAGAAGCCAGTCAACTAATCTGATATATTACCAGGTTTGGAATTGTAATGAAAACAACAGCAGAAGCACCCATTGCTTGCTATGGCGGACTTCATGAATTTAAAAACATCAGGCTGTTCTGTAGCCACCATTCCTCATACAACAAGCACATAAGCAGCTAAACAGATATTTAAAATTATTATGGAAGGAGATGAACAGGAAATTGTTCTGAATCTTAGTCAAAAATGTTGTGTGTACCTGCATCTCAAATGCAGACTGATTTATATATCATAACCTGGGGTGTGTGGGGGGGGGTTGAGGAGCGAGGGGCAAGGGAAATATGAAATTACACTATTATCAATTGTGAAAAATTATGTCAAGATGTGAGACTTTGTACTTCATTTAACTGTGTTTCAGTTAATATTTGTGTTTCTTTGCACAGAATTTTACAATTCACTAAAGACAACATTTGTAGAGTTCTTCTGAACAAAATATTTTAAGGATTTCCTCTTTGTAACCCCCCCAAAACTTTTCTTTCTACTTGTATCAATTCACTGCCATTTGTTTTATTGGAAAATGCAAATACTCTAAGAATGAAATTGAACCTTAATATCTTTAACAAAAGTTAAACCACTCAGCCAGGTCACAGTTCTAAAATTTACTGGCTACATCACCAGTGTCTTTCAAGGTTTCTTTCTGTGCTCTTTCTTTTAATTACATTTAATTTGTCAGCACAGGAATATATTTCTTAGGCCATGAAAAATAGCAAGTATTCAAACCCACAAGGCCCCTATTTGCTTACTCTTGTAATACTCTTTCTTTGTTCTCTCCTTCTTTTTCCATGCTGGGATACATGATGTGATGACCCGTAGTCTCTCAAAATAACCCAAAACATAAATTAAAGTCCGGTAAGGCCTTCAACTTAACTTCACTGTTTTACCTCCACCCCCAGGGAGATTTCATTTCCAATATGCTTCCTTCCTGGATTTATGGGCAATATGTCTTTGCTAATTTAACTACTGGCCATGCCCTTGTCTCCCAATTCCCTTTGACCCAGAAAAGCAGCCTAAACCATTAGGATTTACTGAGATAATACACTGCTGAAATCAGTCAGGATTGGGCCATACTTTACAAAAATCGGGAATAAATGGGCTCCCCCCTCTTTTTTCTTTTTCTTTTTCTTTTGTAGAAAGAGGAGATGTTTGTTACTTGACAGTACAGAGGAAGCTCCATGGCAAATGGGAAGCCAATGGGAAGCCAATAGAGAAGAGCAGGCGCTTATTGGCAGTATTCTCAACATTTAGCTATGGAAAGGGCAAAACCAAGGAGAGGATTGGTCCTTTCAACAGTGCCTCACTACCATATCCACTCCTCCCTCCCTCCCTCCCTCTCTCTTTGAAATCCCTGAAAACAGTGAGTCAGAATCAGAGTCCACTGCAGTTTAGGACATGATTGAGTTGCAAATGGCTGTGTGATCAGCTACCAAGGAATGCAAATTGACCTGAGGATTAAAAGAAGTTAGTTTGCAAATGAAATAGATCGTCCTGTGGTAGAATCCTCCATATCAGCTGCCACACATTTAAATAGAGAGATAAAAGAAGTTCTTATTTATCAAGCAAATTTGACAACCTTCCAAACATGTGCACAGCATTGTTTAATTTCTGTTGCTGTTTGGGTATACATTTTTCCTCATAGCAATATAAGACGCAGAGCACAAGGAAGAAACTGAATGTGCCCTTTTCTTACTAGCTTTGCAATTGTTTTTATTATATCATTTACTATTCTTTATATTTCAGACTTATTTAGATACTGAGTTTATTTATCTTTTGAATAAAACCAGGATATCTATCTGTTCTTCATTCATCTCATTTCTATCTGGCCTTTCATCCTGGAGCTCAATGGATATAAAGAGTATTCCCTCATCAGTTTTTTCACAATAATCCTGTGAGAGACATTGGCAGCTGAGATTGGCACAAAGTCACTTACTGAGTTTATGTAGCTAAGGGTGGATTGAATTCAGGTATCTTGGTTCTAGTTTAACAACTCAGTTGTTTGCCATCGTGCTGTAATAATAAGTAGAAGAATGGAACTAAGTTTTATTTTACACCATGGCTGAATGTGGTTCATGAAACCTGCACCCTAAAGATTTAAAATGCACTTTCATGTTTGGCAAACATCTTCAAATGCTACATTTCTTTTCAAATCTCTCGGGGTATTATGTTATTCAGAGGAAAGCAATTTGGTTTGTCTGCTGTGAAAAGGGAGAAATTAATTTTGCAGAAGTTAATCTTTAGAATCAACAACATTTTGATTGTGTCCAATGAGTTTAAATGAAATTATTTTTGTATCATTTATTTACACATTTTCTTTAGATACTGAATTTTGGATTTTGTTTTCTGCACAGGACCAACTACCCTTATAAATACAGTTTCCTGGATGAAAACAACAAGCTAATACCCCGAAGGGATGTCCCCTCTTATCCTAAGGTATAATGTTATGTAGATACATTCAGAGTATCTTTAGACAGAGCTGATCATCACAATAACTAAAATTATTCTCGGCATCTTTTGCTTTCCATCAAATAATGCCCAGGAGGTTATTATATGCAGGAAGAAAGATTCAGGATCATTATGTTTAAAATCACTGCCCCAAACCAGTCTTCTTACAAATCACTACAGTAGACATCATCTGGGAAAGAGCTGACAGATGTGACTTCAGATGTAATAGCTCATAATATTTTTTGCTTTAAGATTTCTTTAAAAACAGTAGCAGGATGTGTGTGTGTGTGTGTGTGTGTGTGTGTGTGTGTGTGTGTGTGTGT